ACCTTCCGAAAGCGCATTACAGAAAGTGTTTTCGACCTTTACGACAGAGGAGGACCGAATAAGAGAGATAAAGAAGGTGAGGTGAGGCCCATCTGGGAGAGAAAGACCTAATGAGCTCAACTGTCCTTCCAATCTCTCCCTTACAGATCCTCTCCAGTCAACTAGGCAGAAAGGCATAGGTAATCCGAAGTCCAGGCTAATGAGAGTAATTTAAACTGTGCTAACTATGGAACTGCCAACTACCTAGGCAGTGTCTGTAGGTGGCTGCGTGACCCCATGCTTCACCAACAGCTTAGTCAGCGTCTCAGGCGAGCAAACTTGGTACTTCACTTTCCCAGAAGGTGACAGGAAAACCTCAGCAAGTTCAAGTTTCTCAGAGGTCAAACTTGTGCTGTCCATAGTTTTACTAAGAACTTTGAGTGCAAGCTGCACAGCATCCTCCCTTGAGATATCATCCTTGTAATCTTGCTTGAGTATTGATTGTGCTGCCTGGTTATTTGCACCAATAGCTGCAGCCTTCCAACCACCATAATTTCCACTAGGGTCACTCATGTAAAGTTGAAAGCCATAATTTTTGTCCCAGCCAGCAAATAGGAATGAGACTCCAAATGGCCTGAGACCACCAAATTGCGTGTAACCTTGCTTAGTATCGCATAGAGATTGAACCAACTGTTCAACTGGCATGGGCTCTTGGTAAGCATAAGTGTAGCGTTGTGCTTGGACCCTAGCAGTGTTGATCAAGATGTTGGCATCAGACATTATACCAGCCACAGCACAGGCAACATGGTCATCAATCTTATACATCTTCTCTGTTGATGTTGAGGTTTGCAGAAGCTTCGATGTTACCTTTTTCTCCCCAACCAAGACAACCCCATCTTTAGATAAGATCCCTATAGCAGTACCTGCATTTCCAATAGCCTCCATTGCATACTCAACTTGGTAAAGACGGCCTTCAGGAGAGAAGATTGTTGTACGGCTATCATATCTTCGAGACATATTGATCTCTCACTATTAATTCAAATCTAAAAGGAAGGAAAATAGGGATTGAAAATCAAAAATTAAAAATTAAAAATATTGATCAGTAAAACAAACTGCTTTAACATTAGATATTGTGATCTCTTCATGACATACCATCGGTTCCCCCCTGGGGGGGGGGGGGGACCATAAACTAAATTAACAAAATATAACAAGTAAAACACAGTATGAAAAAAAAAAAGAAGAAAAAGTCTATACATATTGGAAGTCCCCCACCCCTTCGGGTAAAACATCAGTACCAATTCTAATAATTACTAGGTGAGCATCAATGACCGCTGCAGTAGACTTCGCTACTATAAATATACACCAGGATATATTTTATGTTACACATAATTTTGATGTCAAATTTTCCTTGTTTCAGAACCATGAAAGCATTAGATCTTACGATAGCCAAAGCTTCAGTCATTTCCATCAGATTTTTCTTTCCACTTTTTTTTTTCCAAGTAATGTCATGGGCCTCAAAATCTGGGTTTGAACAATTCAAGAATAAATAAGGCAAGATAAACCAATAAAAAAGGGAAGCAGGAATATCTTACTTACCTTGGTTAGGAGTTAATACTGTTAATGATCCATGTACAATGGGGTGGATCTAAAGTTTGGATGGCTGCCACTTGCCACCAATTTTCATAGAGTGAAACTAGCACTTAAAGTTCGACCCATTTAGCCATTTTCCCACCCATTGAAAAGAGGCTCCTCACTTTACACAAGAGTCCAAGGGACTCAATAATAAAGTTCGACACATCTAGCCATTTTCTCGCTCATATATCTAGCTTAGAGAAAGAAATTTCGCATCCTCAAAGGCTCAAACCACAAGCTTAATGGCCTTCTTTTTGCTACTAGCGACTCAGAAGTAGGAGATGCTTCTTGGAAAAAGATAGGATTTAACAGTAGTTTGTCAAAATCTGATATAAATAAGCAGGCATGTCTTTTATTGCTAGAGCTTGAATTAAGTGGCTAGGTGAGTATAAATTTGCAGAGATCCCAAGTTCAAATTCTCAACATTTCCCAATGCACCAATATGGAAAAAGGATTTTTTTTTTAAATAATGAAAAAGGGACTGTCCTTGGCATAATAAGTAGAGGACACATCACTCCGCAAAGGTGTTACCTAGCTCCCACGTAGAAATAATTGAAGCTTGTGTTTTATAGAAATTTATCCTACAGAACACCCATCTCCTTCCATAAATCCAATCCATGAGCCACCAAATCCAAGATGCTTTTAACACAGGACCATGCCATGGAATAACTAACACTCAACAACCAAGGTGTTATATTCAAAGCTTAGCTTTAAATTTAGATTTAAAAAGAAAAAGGAAGAAAGAGAAATACCTCCCCATTTTCACCCCCACAAATTGAAAAAAAAAAAAATGTTAGACATTAAGCTAACTATCAACAGCTATATCACCCGCCCAATATAACTCCAAAGCACCATTTTTCAACACACTGGCAGCCCTGAACACAGAAGTAACTCCTAAATAATCTAAATTCCTTCAATAAACAACAGTACAAAGGCTGGTTCAGAGATCTAATCAGTTGATATGAGAAGCTGGAGAAATCACAATCTCATGGCTGCCACTCGGCATGCACTAATGGAATGGTTTGATGTTGTGGACTGAAAGCTTTAGTAAAATAACCGAAAGAAACAAAAGACTGAAAGAGAATACTGAAGAAAAAATAGCTTTGCGACTGACTTTCTAAAATTTATCAGTCGAATTATTGGCTGTGAGGAACATAGGATACAGAGCCCTCAAAATCTAAGCCCTGCAACAGAACTAAGACTTCAACCCTAGAAGTCCCAGATAAGAATGAACTCAATTTTAATTGAACTTTTGTATGTATAATAAGGTTAACACAAAGGAAAAGAAAACACAAAACTCTCGACATACCAGGAGAATGAAATCCCGTAGAAGATTCTCCAAACAAGAAGGCCTAGGTTTCATAAAGTGATTACTCAATTGCACCAAAACACACATAACTCAAGCACTAAAATTCTAGTGCTTGGCTACTTCCCCACTAAACGGGCCTCAAAGATAAAATGCCCAAATTTTCATTAGAAAAAATAGTCGACTGCGGTTGCACTAAACGTTAAGTGCGTCCCTTCATACTCTATTAATCAGATCGATAACAGGGATTGCCTTACTCTCAAACCGACCCTAATTAAAATAGAAAAGCAAGCAGCATCCAGAAAGCTTTCAACAGTAAATAGAAACAGAAAATTATCCTCGCACATTTGTCTTTAGAAGCAAACTATACAATCAACGTTATCAACAGAAAGAAAAAGATGAAAACCCAGGAAAACAAAGAAAATGTAAGCCAAGAAGACGATCTTACCTGATATTCTTCTCGGTAAATCAAGAAACTCCGCAGCTGGCTTCGCACTGGAGAAGACAATAATGGCTCCGAGAACAAAAAAGGTGCTGCTTCTTCTTCGCCAAGAAAGATCGGTTGGGTTAACAAATTGGGCCAGGCACTATCTTTTCGGGTACAAACCGCCCATGTTACGATTGGTTGGGTCATTAATCAACTTCGTTGGCCCAAACTATTTGGAAAAGCGCATACAAAAAATGGATAGATGATTTCTAAAGTAAAGTGCAAAGACGCGTTTTTCGCCTGAGAAGACGGACAAATACAAAGGATGGGGTTGTTCTTTTAGCTTAAAAATCATGATTTTTCATTTTTTAGAAATTTTATGAAAATTAATTTATTCTAAAAATCATTTCACATTTATTTATGATCATAAAAATGATTTCTTGTTTACTAATTTTCAGATTTTATAATATCTCCATATATATTCCTTATTTTCGTCAATATTGATTCGCATATACTAATTATTTTAAAAAAAATAAAAAATTATATTTTTATTTAGAAAAACTCGAACATGTTAAATTTTTTCATGAGTGTTTTTTCCAAAAATATTTTTTAATTAAAAATAATGAACTAAAAAAGCCCTATATTCTTTCATACGTAGAAGAATGAATTCATAAATAAATATTTTTAAGAATTAAATCATAAAACTATTATTTTTCATATTACATAGTAAAAGACTCTTTATTATTTTCTATAAAAACTATCAATAACGTCTTTGGTACAAAAATTGATATATGAATATGAATTATAATTAGCTTTCGAAAATTTTATAAATACTGATTTTTTTTTTTTTGGGGAGGCCATCTATGCCAACTTGTATTAATATCAATATGATTGATTCCAATCACAAATCTCTGCTTAGTTTTTATTTGGTGCACATTCCTAGAGCTAGTTACGTGCAAATGCATCAATTATATAATATCTAACATGTAATACTCGCATTGTGCACATTGTATGTACCTTCTAGTTCTAGGAATTGTAGAAATAGTAGTTATTGGGAAACGCCCATTTCAATTTGTTGGCAAGAAAAATGCACCAAGGAGGCAACGACACATGGTTAACTTTTCTTTCTTCCAGATCCAGAATGCGTATCATATAGTGGAGCTAACTATTAATCTGATCATCAAATTGATGAATATATTAATAAATTATAACATGTAAATTTGTTTTTGTATATTAGACCAGTAGTATCATTGATTATTGATATTTCTAGGTTATTTTATAATAAACTTGATTGATTTCTAGGTCACTGAAAAATATATATTTTTTTTTCGTGAACGACCCAAGTCATGACAATTATTTTTGAAAATTGTCATATAAAACTAATTTGAATTGATAATTTTAAAAAATAGATTTAGTGATAATTTTGCGACTGACTTTTTAGCTTTTTAAATGATTAGCTTATTTGAAAATTATTCCTGGCCAACTAGACAGGACGATCATATGTTGAGATTTGAGGTCTTAATTTATACCAGAATTAGAAATTTAAAAAAAGAAAAAGTGAATTTCACGTTCTCATGCAATTTCCAAATTCCAAAGCGCTCACGGGTTTACTACTTTAACTTTACACTGACCGAATCCCACGCACACCCCAAGAGAAGCTAAAAGACAAACATCTTTATATAAAAAGAATCTTTATATGATTCTCACAATTCATTGAACCGGGATTTTTTATGAGCAGTAGTAAAATAACATTCTACGACAAACGCAAGCAAATGTTTCATTCATACGAAGTACACTTTTTTTCTCCTGCACATCGATTTGATGTACGTCTTAAATAACCAAAAATAAAAACACTAGTCCGTTTCTTCAATCACCAACTATCTCTCAGACAAATCGATCGATTATTTGATGTGAAAGCGATCCAATCCCTGCAAAACAAAGCCAAACCAACTATATATTACTTGCTTATAACTTTATATATAACTCAAGTTTAAGTTTGATAACGGGAGAAAAGGAAATAAATTAAAACAAAATATAGATATGATGAGATGGGTATTAATATATGTATTATACATACATTGTTAACTAGTTGGGCAAACACTGAAACCCTTGTGGAGGAACCTTGCCACAATCAATGAGGATCTGAAGAGCGATGGGAAGGACGATATTGATATTAAGAAGCTTCAACCTAATGGTGGTGCAGAGGCACACGGCGGCGTCTAGGTCCAGAAGCCCTCCAAGCACAGGGCAACATGCTTGTTTAGCGTTCTCTCCAATTCCGATGTGGATCAAACCTCCAAGCACATCCACGCACGCCCCTAGCTTCAAACTGTCGATAGGACAAGTGGGTTGCGCTGGCGGTGATGGCGGCACGTATGATGGTGGTGGTGGTGGACATGGTGTTTGAGATGGCGGAGATGGAGGTGTAACTATAGGTGGGGGATTTATTACTACCGGTGGTGTAGGTGGTGTCACGATCGGAGGTACATACGGTGGTGGTTTCACAGGTGGCGTCACAACCGGCGGGTTAGGCACATATGGTGGCGGCGAAGGCGGCTTCACAACTGGTGGGTGAGGTACGTATGGTGGCTTTGGAACATAAGGTGGGGAAGCAGGTGGTTTTGGGACATTTGGTGGGTTCACAACCGGTGGCTTTGGGACATAAGGTGGGGAAACAGGTGGTTTTGGGACATTTGGTGGGTTCACAACCGGTGGCTTTGGGACATAAGGTGGGGAAACAGGTGGTTTTGGGACATTTGGTGGGTTCACAACCGGTGGCTTTGGGACGTAAGGTGGGTAAACAGGTGGTTTTGGGACATTTGGTGGCTTCACAACCGGTGGCTTTGGGACATAAGGTGGGGAAACAGGTGGTTTTGGGACATTTGGTGGGTCACAACCGGTGGCTTTGGGACGTAAGGTGGGTAAACAGGTGGTTTTGGGACATTTGGTGGCTTCACAACCGGTGGCTTTGGGACATAAGGTGGGTAAACAGGTGGTTTTGGGACATGTGGCGGCTTCACAACCGGTGGTCTTGGTACATACGGCGGTGAAGAATGATGAGGAGGTTTTGGAACGTAATGATGATGGGGAGGTTTTGGGACCTGATGATGCGGTGGTTTTGGACCGTACGGCGGTTTAACGACGGGCGGCTTGCCGTGATGAGGAGGTTTAGGGGAAGAAGACGGTGGTGGACAAGGCTTATTATTAGGGCTTCCACCACGAGGAGGAGGACGATGAACAGGAGGCTTCCTGACTACTTTAGGAGGGTGGTATTTTGGAGAAGGGTAAGGGCAATATGGGCAAGCAAAAGCAGTGAGCAATGAGCTCAAGTTCAAGAGCAAGATGAAGAGATTTGATACAGTAGAATGATTCGCCATTGATGAACTGAATCATTCACCGATTTGCTTGCTTCAGAGAAAGTAGTGAGTAAGAACTGTTGGAAACCCTAGAGGGTGACGCCCTAGTTATATAGGATAATGGAGTCACGGACGGATAGAGACTTGTCATTTTTATGAATCTCACTGTGCTGCTAGTTGCAATTAAATTAGTTCATCTTTTATTATGATTGATTGACTTCAAGGATTTTCATGAGATTTTTAAGGGCGGTGTACATGTTTTTTCGTAGTAATTAGTGGCAATATTTATGTACTTTTTTTATATCCCCTGGTTTGTAGGCTTTTCTTACTTACTTTCATTCATCATGGACTCCTTGCGTTTAACTAAAATTGTGAAACTTGTTAATAGAAATCATATAAAACAGTCACATATAGAGTGAAAATGATTCAAAAACTCTTAAATATAGATTTGGATTTGAGCCCTATATTATTAAAAAAAAAATCCATGCAAGAAGTCAACAAATATTAATCTTATCGGTTAAAATGCACCTCGTATATTTAAAAGATGTGTAATTTGTAAATATTTTTGTAAGTGCACTTTAAACTTTTAAGGCAAATATATTTGCATTGGTGAGTTCCGAAATTTAATTTATGTAAACATATTTGCCACTTGTAATAGAAAGAGATCAAGTTAGTAGAGTCCCACCCATGTGCGACATGATGATGGTGCTTGAATATGAATTAGCTAACTCAGTTGGTTAGGATGAAGTGAAGTATTATGATTATACATATGAGTCAGGGGTTTAAAACCTTTCAATGTATTACTTCCGTTCCTAATTATAATGATTGCAAACGAGATCTTATAGAGAGGTAGTACAAAACAAAATTATAAGTTACTCCCTCTAGTCTTATTTATAAGCTTTAAATTTGAAAAGAATTATGGTCCATTTTATTAGCTTCAATTTAGGTTTGTCTTAATATTTAATATACTTTTTTTTAATATTGTTTTTAATTATTTCTCTCTTATCACATTTTTTTCATACATTCTCTTTTATCATTTTTTTTCATTTATTATAAGGGCATATTTAAAAATAAAAGTATATTTTTAATATATTTATTGTTTTTAACTAATTTTAACTAATTGTTTATTATTTGTCTTTGAAGCTTATAATAAAAACCCGAGAGAGTACTATAATATGAGGGAGCTAGTTGCATTTGATGTTTGAATTTTATTTATCTATTAATATATTACATTTTACTTTGCTCTGTTTAATAAATCTTGTAACTTGAAAACAACGAAAACATAGTCACAGACAAATAAAAATTACCCAATTATAAAGGTTGCTACCTTCAGTTTTAAATATAAAATCTAGTTTATATGTAACATATCCTCTTAGAGAAAATGAGTAAATAAACTTATGCCTAATTTTATGTCCCAATTTCACGTCATAATTGATAATGAACAGTAAATAGTAAAAAGAATTTTTATGAGAAAGAAACGACAGAATCATCATCTCAGCCACCGCCTTGATGGGTTTGGATTCACGGAAAATGCTGAAATCAAATTTAGAAATCAATAAGATATTGCAAAGAAGGAAAGCTGGAGAGTCCAAAATGTCAGCATTTTAAGGACAAGAGACGTAGAAATAATAAGACAACGTGGTTTAATTTATGTTACACAGAACATGTTTTGACAGCTAGTGGCTCTTTCTTGCCTTTTTCCTATTCGACCCGTGAATGGATGATGATGGAATATATAAATAAGGAGATATATTTATATATGTATATATTCCCCTCAATTTCACAATCACACTTGCAAACCCATCACTTAATAATTGAAGAGACTCATCATTCTGTTCTTTTTAATTTTATGATGTATTTTTAAATTTTTATTTCTAAACCATTTCTAACTTATCTCTTCTTAAACTTATCATGAATACATTTCCTCTTATTCTTTCTCATATAAAAATCTTAGCTCAGTTAGAATAATTGCTTGTTAGGATTAGCTCGTTTTAGAAGTGATTATATATATGGTGTATACGGTGAGTACGTGAGAAAAATTTTATCTTCACTTACATAAAAGTGTTTTTTAAAATGGTTTTAGGAGTTACCAAACACCTCCAAAGTAAATATGTGAAAGAAGTTGACTTTTTAATACAAATTATATCATTATAAATCAAGATTTTATACCAACTACATATTGCATGTACTCAATTAGATTGGCCAGAACTAAGCGAAACAAAATAAGGAGCCAAGGATGATCGTTAATGTAGATGATTCCTTTTAATGAAGTCTTTTATCTCAATCTTTAATAAAACTCACACTAATTGTTACCCCACATGATGTCCTTTATAGCTCAAATATAACATCATGTGAACACCATTTCTTTCACATGGCTTTTTACGATTATCTTGGTACTCAATCATAATTTTTTTACAAATCAATGAAAATTATTATAATTTTTTTTTTTAATTGCGATCCCTTTTCATAAACCTTGATAAGGGATAAATGGCCTTTGTTCTTTACCATTCTAACGTACCCTTTTCCTCCATTTCTGTAACATTTTTTTAAACCTAAAAATGAATCTCATCAGATAGCTCAATGGGAGAAAATAAGTACTCCTCCGGTCCTTAATATAAGACCTAATTATTGAGTTAATTTTGCTCCTAAATATAAGACCTATTTCTTATATTTATCAATTTTTCCTAAATTACTCCTATAGTACTCCTTCAATTATAATTAAGTAGAAGAAGGAGGGAGAATATTAAGAAAGATAGTTATAGTGTTTTAGGAAAAACATGTCATATTTTGTTATAATTAACTAACTTACCTAACTTCCTATCAAATTACTTAAATAAGTCTTATATTAAGGATCGGAGGAGTAAGTCTCTTGAGTATTGATACAAATGCAAAACTTGAGTCATTTTTCTAAACTTTATATTATATGTATAAAGGCAAACTCACTGTTTATATTACATTATATTAGTGAATTGAAATTATATGTATATAATCTAAAGTTTAGGAAATTATATATAATTAATTTTAAAAAAGTAGGGTTTGAGGGAGAAGGTAGGGAAAGTCATAATTGTGGCTAAAGCATGACATGTGAGGCTCTTTACTTTAAACCTTATGGCAGAGAATCGAGGCATTAAAAAAATAATAGAGAATAGGAGTAGTATGGACAAGAAATGAGATCTGCCATTGTGAATGACAGGTCTTTTTCTTTGAATTTAGTCACTATCCCAAATATATTCCTAATCCAAACTTTTTCTCCATAATTATCAATCAAGGTTCTGTTTGATAGTCAGGTTTAGGATCTGGCAAGCAAGACGCAGGTTTAATTCAAAATATCATAATCTATAGGCTAATCGCCATTGTTGGTCTTAAAATGTTAAACCCTACAAGGCTACTTCATCAAAGATTTGCATCTCGGAGTTAGCAAGCACCTTTAAAATAATAGAGGTAGAGAGTGTGTTAATATATAAATATATATATATATATATATATATATATAAAGATATCAATCAATTTTATCCCTAAATTTATATTTTTTTTCCCAAACAATTCTATTAATTATACATAGTAAAAGAGCTTTTTACAAATGGACATGATTTTCAATACAAATGGATTAAATGGGTGTTGACAAAAAAAAATTAAAGGGGGCATTATATGTATTTATTACAAATTATTAATTTAACTAATTTTTTAAATTTTTATAGAAAAATTATTTATCTCTTATATTTAAATAAAAAAATTTGATGAGGATTTTAGAGTTAAAAGTTTGCGAATTATTTTTTAGATAGTTGAACCTTCTCAAAATTTTTAGGATAATTTTTTTATAGAATTGAAGTTGCACGATTTTTTAAAGGAAAGGGAGAAAGAGGGAGCCCAATATAATTTTGCAATGTCATATCCTCTCTGTTTCTTTTTTTTTTTTATAATTATTTTGGCCTTATACGTTGTATTCTCTTTCGACTTTATAATATCTCTGAGAACCTTAAAAGATACCTACATAATATTGACAAATTTGAAAGAGGTTGGTACCAAAAAGAGACTTAAACCCCTAAATATAAGAATGTAAAAGTTTGTCCTAATTTGAAGTAATTTCTAAATTGCTTTACATCCAATTAAGCCAACCTGGCTTTAGCTATTAGTACTAATTTTGTGCACCTATTTTAACATTATATTGTAACTATGCTAAGATTCAAACAAACGGTATTTGAATAATTTTTACAACATTTACGATGGAGAGAGGTAACTTTTGAGGAAATAATTCCAGTGCGAATTTAATATACACTCATTATATTGCTGCATTTTCTATAAATTTGGACACACAGGCACGCACACTTAATTCTTATAAAAATATATATTTTATCATTTGTAATTTTGTAACGAATTGAACTCGAATCCTTTATATTCCTTCGTTTCTTGTCATTTTATTATTATCTTCAGCCTAGGGCTAAAGAATGGGGGAAAAAAAATTAAACTTCATATATGATCCAAAATTTTCAACTACGAAATTTATCTAAAAAAAAAAAAAAAGGCAACTACGAAACTTTCGTGTCCTCATTCACCATTATTACTGACAGTGAGAAATTATTGGTACGCTCAGTTATGTTTAAAGAGGAAAGCAGAAAGCAACGGTTCGGTTGATAACTCATGGCTTCCTCATTGAAAGGCAATAAACACAAGTACCTTTTTTAATAAATAAAAAAAGATTATGGAGAAGTTTCGGACAAATTTTTCTAAAATAAACTGTAAATATCAGTTTAAATAATAATTGTAAACTCACCTCAATTTTGTATCCTAATGACATGTAAAAACCTTAATAACTGGGAAATTGTAAATTTAATCCTCCCTATTGAACATCGTCATCAAAATGATTTGAAACTTAAACATTAATTATAACTAGTACAGACCGCGGAAGGAGTTTAAATAGCATGGAATGGAATTTAAAACTGTCAACCAATAAATGACTTGATTTTCAAAAGGAATTTCACAACATTAGATTTTACAAAACTCCTGCATTATTATTGACAATTTTAATTGAGTTATGCTTGAACCTGTGTCACATCGATGACGATGTGTTAGAACAT